CCTGGAAATAGAGCGAGAGCACTCGAAGGAGGGGTTGTCGCCTGCCAGATCACTTCCTCCCTCCGTCCCCCCACAACTGTGCGCGTTCAGATTTTTAAAGGGCATGACGGGGGCTTGCAAATTTAAATATAAGCTAGTATGTATTTACTTATGCAGTAAAGTCTCACTAGGTGGCTCAGAACTTGAACTTGTAGCGATCCTCCTGCCTCAGCCTCCTGAATGCTGGGATGTCAGGCTTGCACCACCCTGCCCACCTTTAACTTTTCTTTGAAAGTGTAATGTCTTTAAGTACAGGAGGGAAAACCTTGTCTAGAATTCTTCCCACAGGAAAGCGATCCTTCAAAAACAGGCGAAATAGGCCAGGTGTGGTGGCGCACGCCTGTCATCCCAGCACTCAGGAGCCTGAGGCAGGACCAGAGTTCCAGACCAGCCTGGGCTACACAGTGAGTTCCAGGTCAGCCTCAACTACATAGTGAGACCCTGTCCCAAACACAACAAAACAAAACAAACAAAAAACAGGTGACATAGAGATGTTTTCTAACCAGGTGCGTTTACACACACCGGTAACCCCAGGACACTGGGGAGACTGAGGCAGGAGGGTCGAAGGCTCAGAGCTCCTCTGCAGCCTGCGGGGCTTCCCCAGCAAGCGTGGGGTAGCGGGCTGCTCCCTCCCACTGCGACAGTCACCCTGGGCTGCAGCGAACTAGGGGAGACCTCTAGCCCTCTGCTGGACCCACGCGGGGGTACGGAAGTCCTCCATGAGGCCTGCGTGGCACGCGGTGGCGGGGGATCGATTTTGCTTTTAAAAATACCAACCAAGAGGAGCGAAGGGAGCTGCACCCGCCGGCCCGGGGCATCCCCTGCAGGGTTTGGGTGGGCAGCTGGAGGGGCCACCCAGGGAAGCCACTCCTACCTGCTGCCCGCGCTGCCTAGGGACTAAAACCCGCCTAGAAGCTGCGCTTCGCTCTAAAATTCATTCAGATCAGAGTGCCCGCCCGCACGGCGCTGCGTACTTCCTCAGGGCGCTGCGGCCCAGGCGCTGCTCCTCCCACTGGCGGCGCTGCGTCTGCTTGCGGATCTCCCGCTCCCAGAAGCGCCTGAGGTCGTGGCAGGTGTTTCCGCAGAAGACCTCGCGGCGCGTGTACTGGCGGTTCATGCCCTGCGGAGGCGAAGGGGCCCCGCCTGAGTCCCACCCC